GCCAGGTGTGGTGGTGGGCGCCTGTAGTCCCAGCTACTCGGGAGGCTAAGGCGGGAGAGTGGCGTGAACCCGGGAGGTGGAGCTTGCAGTGAGCCGAGATTGCGCCACTGCACTCCAGCCTGGGCGACAGAGCGAAACTCCATCTTTTCCTAAAAAAAAAAAAAAAATTAGCCGGGCGTGGTGGCGGGCGCCTGTAGTCCAAGATACTCGGGAAGCTAAGGCGGGAGAGTGGCGTGAACCTGAGAGGCGGAGCTTGCAGTGAGCCGAGATTGCGCCACTGCACTCCAGCCTGGGCGACAGAGCGAAACTCCATCTCAAAAAAAAAAAAAAGCACCTTCCTTACAGAATGAGACAGATAAATCCAGATGTTGCTCTTAGAACAGTACCTGGTACATAGTAAGCGCTCCACAAATATTGAGGCTTTTTTCCTCTCTTCTCTGAATTTGTTTTGTTTTGTTTTTTTGGAGACAGTGTCTCACTTTGTCACCCATGCTGGAGTGCAGTGACATGATCTCAGCTCACTGCAATCTCTGCCTCCTGGGTTCAAGCGATTCTCCTGCCTCAGCCTCCCAAGTAGCTGGGATTACAGGCCCCCCCGCAACCAAGCCCCACTAATTTTTGTATTTTTTTTTCAGTAGAGACAGGATTTCACCATGTCGGTCAGGCTGGTCTCCTGACCTCAGATGATCCACCTGCCTCGGCCTCCCAAAGTGCTGCAATTATAGGCGTGAGCCACTGTGCCTGGCCTCTTCTCTGAATTGGCTCTCCCACACTTTTTCAGGGTTTCCCAGAACAAGCTCCAAACTGACGTGGTTCTTCCTCAAGATTCTCGTCCCTTCTGTTTCCCTGAGTTGGTTTCCGGAGGAGGGGTTCCTTTTTTGTTAACTTTGTTTGTGTGTGTATGGGGGGAGGGTGGGATCAGGGTATAGGTTCAGAAAGGAAGGAGGCAGGCATGCCCTTTTGCCATTGCAGGAGGAAATAGCAGTCCAGGGACAGAACTGTTGAGAAAGCAGCCATGAACAGCCTGTTGGCTGTTTTTGAAGCAGCCCGACGCCACCCGGCAGCATGAGAATCTGAGAAAAGGATAGAAAACAGTCATTTCCAGGCAGGCACAGTAGCTTACGCCTGTAGTTCCAGCACTTTGGAAGTCCAAGGCTGAAGGATCGCTTGAGCCCAGGAGTTCAAGACCAGCCTGGTCAACATAGTGAGACCCCCCCCTGTAGAAAAAGTTAAAAAATATTAGCTATGTGGGGTGGTGCCGCCTGTAGTCCCAGCTACTCGAGAGACTGAGGCAGGAGGATTGCTTGAGCCAGGGAGTTCGAGGCTGCAGTGAGCTGTGATCGCACCACTGTACTCCAACCTGGGCAACAGAGCCAGACCTTTTCTCAAAAAAGAAAAGAAGGCCTGGCGTGGTGGCTTACGCCTGTAATCCCAACACTTTGGGAGGCTGAGGCAGGTGGATCATTTGAGGTCAGGGATTCAAGACCAGTGTGGCCAACATGGTGAAACCCCGTCTCTATTAAAAATACAAACATTAGCCAAGCATGGTGGCACATGCCAGTTGTCCCAGGTACTCAGGAGGCTGAGGCAGGAGGATAGCTTGAACCCAGGAGGCAGAGGTTGTAGTGAGCTGAGATCACACCATTGTACTCTAGCCTGGGTGACTCAAAAAAAAAAAAAAAGAAAAGAAAAGAATACAGTCTCTCCGAGAGGAAATTGGCATTGTCTGGAAAATAGCTCTTCTTTGTGCGACCTCACAGTCTGCCTTCTGGCCAGAAATGTTTGGGAAACAGTGACTCATGGCTGGATGGCCTCTGGGCCACGCCTCCTGCCTCCTGAGCTGCCCTGGGAAGGACCCAGCATCCCTAGAGACTGGGCCAGGGCTGGAGACTTTTCCGAGGCAGCTTTGTGCAGATGCTTTTTATTTCTGTTTCCCCCTCACAAGGGCAGAGGAGCAGGTGAGCACTTCTCTCTGGACACATAGGTTTCTCAGGTAGCATGGGCTTCAGGTATGGTTAGATCCGGGAGCCTCCAAAGATGTCCTTATGAATCTACCTTTCCCTGTCTCTCGGCTCTGCTCTCCTCTGTGCTGGCATCGCTCACAGGTTCCACACAGAGACTAGGCAGCTGCCAGGAGCTGCAGGCTTACATCAGCCTTGTGGCCTACAGTTCTGGAGTTTACGGGGAAACAAAGAATTTTAGGAATAGATTGTTGGTGGCTCTGATGGTATCACACAAGCCTGAGTTGGTCGCCGTGAGCAGGGGTGCGTGCTGTTCTATTTTCTTTTGCTTTTATTCAGATGTTCTCACTCTGTTGTCCAAGCTGGAGTGCAGTGGTACAATCATGGGTCGTTGGAGCTTTGAACTCCTGGGCACAAGTAATCCTCCTGCCTCATCCTCCCAGGTAGCTGGGACCACAGACATGCACCATCTTGCCAAGCTCAGTCTTTAAAAAAAATTTTGGGGCCCAGCGCAGTGGCTCACACCTATAATCCCAGCACTTTGGGAGGCTGAGGCGGACAGATCACGAGGTCAGGAGATCGAGACCAGCCTGGCCAACATGGTGAAACTCCATCTCTACCAAATACAAAAAAAAAAAAAAATTAGCTGGGCGTGGTGGCACGTGCCTGTAGTCTCAGCTACTTAGGAGTCTGAGGCAGGAGAATCGCTTGAACCTGGGAGGCGGAGGTTGCAGTGAGCTGATATCACACCACTGCACTCCAGCCTGGTGACAGAGCGAGACTCCGTTTCAAAGAAAAAAAAATGTTTTTTAATACAGTTGAGGTCTCACTATGTTGCCCACACTGGCCTTGAACTCCTCGGCTCAAGTGATCCTCCTGCTTCAGCCTTCCAAAGTGCTACAATTACAGGCATAAGCTACTGCGCCTGGCCTGGTGTTCTGACTGGTCCAGCCTGAGGCCTGAGGTCATCAGGAGTGTTGTCTGCTCTGCACTAGTTCTTGAGGAATTTTTTTTTTTTTTTTTTTTTTGAGGCGGAGCCTTGCTCTGTTGCCCAGGCTGGAGCACAGTGGCGTATTCTTGGCTCACTGCAGCCTCTGCCTTCCAGGCTCAAGTGATTCTCCTGCCTCACCCTCCCGCTGGGATTGCAAGCACCTACCACCATGCCTGGCTAATTTTTGTATTTTTAGTCGAGATGGGATTTCACCATGTTGGACAGGCTGGTCTTGAACTCCTGACATCGTGATCCGCCCACCTCGGCCTCCCAAAGTACTGGGATTACAGGAATGAGCCACCTCACCCAGCTGGTCTTTGAGGATTAAGAGTTGAGAGTGGGGGACCGTGTGCGGTGGCTCACACCTATAATCCCAGCACTTTGGGAGGCCGACGCAGGCGGATCACAAGGTCAGGAGATCGAGACCATCCTGGCTAACATGGTGAAACCCTGTCTCTACTTAAAATACAAAAGCACAATTAGCTGGGCGTGGTAGCGGGCGCCTGTAGTCCCAGCTACTCGGGAGGCTGAGGCAGAAAAATAGCATGAACCCGGGAGAAGGAGCTTGCAATGAGCCGAGATTGTGCCACTACACTCCAGCCTGGGCAACAGAGTGAGACTCCATCTCAAAAAAAAAAAAAAAGAGTTGAGGGTGGGGAAGTTGTGCAGGATAATCAGGGTGGGTATTTTAGGAAAATTTGGAGAGGACATTGGGGGGTGGGTATAACAGATGCCCATGTTGGGTCTGAGAGGGTGCTACAGGTGTCCTGGGAAGGGAACACATCACTGCACCTGTGGGAGTCTGGGAAGGCTTCGCAAGGTTACCTTCCCTGCATCTCCTTCCCAAAGGGAAGGACATTTGGAGCTGGGCATTGAAGGATGAGTAGGAGTTCACCAAGTGGCAGCATAGGGTAAGGGCGAGCTTGTGATCCAGTGGGTAGTGAAGCAGGTATAGACAGAAAGCGCAATCATTGCTCACGGGTCCTATCTCCGTGTCCAGTGACGGTCCCTTCTGCCGGATCTGCCACGAGGGAGCAAATGGGGAGTGCTTGCTGTCCCCGTGTGGCTGCACTGGCACGCTGGGTGCCGTGCACAAGAGCTGTCTGGAGAAGTGGCTTTCCTCATCTAACACCAGCTACTGTGAGCTGTGCCACACGGAGTTTGCAGTGGAGAAACGGCCTCGACCCCTCACAGAGGTACTCTTGAGAGTGTGAGACTGTGGTGGGCAGCGGGGAGAGGGCAGACATGGGGGCAAAGGCAGGAGCTGCCCTGGGCAATCTGGTGGTCTCCCCAGGGCAGACCCCCTTACCATTTCTGTCCACCGGGTGGGTCTGCTGACGGTGTGTCGGAAACCAGGCCTGGGGCTTCGGAGTCATCTTTCTCTTCCGTCTTCTTCTTCCTTCTTCTCCTTCTTCTACCTTTTTTTTTTTTTTTTTTTTTT